GAACAATAATTTTGTGAGAATCTGCAGTATCATTAAAGATGATATCATGCAGAAACTGGACCAGATTGGCCGGCGCGTTCGGAAGTTATGGCCATTTAAGTGTTTTCACTTCAAGGGGGTGTAACTCCCCCTAGAGTGATCCTACAGGGGTTCAATAGGGGTGTTTTTTTATTGCCGAAGGATGCTCTCTCTCGTTCCTTGATTAGAAATATAAGTTTCCTTCCGGAACTACTAGATCTCAAAATTTTCAAAAAGTTCAAAAATGCACTTTTTCACTCCAACCCCTGCCATTCGGCCATTTTGTATCCGATCGGGATAAAACTTTTACCATTCGAACGGGAAGGAAATTTCCTAAAAAATATATTTTTGGTTTTTTTAAATCGGTCATAGTTTCGTAGAGATACACAAAAATTCAAGTGTTCCACTTCAATTGCGCATTACTGTATGTATGAATGTATGTATGTATGTATGTACATACCTATGCATATATGTATGAATGAATGTAGGTATGTAGAGATACACAAAAATTCAAGTGTTCCACTTCAATTGCGCATTACTGTATGTATGTAAACATTTTCCGTTTGACAAATTTATTAATCTTGTTTAATTTTCACGTAAAATAAGAACTATTTTGATGATCAGATGAAAAAAAAGTATAAAAAATATGTTTTTTATGAAAATAAAATAAAAAATTTCCATATAATCTTCAACTACATATTATTTCAGAGCACTGAAAAATGAATAACTTTGCTATTTAAACTTTTGCCGTATCTATTTTGATTTCGAAGATATCAGCGAAAAACGAAAAAACCACAGAATTTGAGGAATTAATTTCACCCCTTAAATATGCAAGTGGGCAGCTCCTTTTTTGTGAGGGTTTATACTTTGATGTGAACTACAAAACGTAATTTTTTCAACCCAGGTTGTGGGGGTACAGGAAGGTGACTTTCCTTGTTAGTACGAAAGACTGTAGACCGCCACTGAGTGCCTCAGGAGTATACAAAATCCCCTGCTCATGTGGAAAAGTGTACATAGGTGAAACCGGGAGGAAGATCAGTACATGGGTCAAAGAACATTAACAGTGTATCAAATACGGTAATTTTTCTCAATCTGCCCTAGCTGAACATTGGATGAATACTGGACATTCAGTGGAATACGAAAAGACAGAAATGCTGGCTAGGTCTACAGGTTACTTCGCCCGAAAATACCGCGAAGGTCTAGAGATATTGAAACACCCAATTAACCTTAATAGGGATCGAGGATATCAAGTAAATCCCATTTGGCACACCGTCCTCCCGGTTTTTTAATTGATCAGCCGATCAGCTAAACAATTTGTGATCGGCTGAAGCACTGATTCGCAGGAGCAGTCATAGGTATATTAAGACTTCCTGACAACAGGGAGTTTCAGTATCGGAGCCTCCTAGCCCTGATGATGCAGACTGAAACGTTTGTGAAACATAGGCACGAAGCTGAACACAGACGCGGCTTCCGTCCGGAAACCATGAGTATTAATGATAACATTGGCCTAGAAAGCCTAAAATCTCAAATTTGCGTTTATTATGCCAGACGTTAAACTCAAAACTAATGTCAACTATCTATATAGAGCATATTAGCAATAATTCGTCAAAAATAATCACGGTAAAAGCTTAATAACAAACATATAGTTTTGGATAATATTAATACGTTCAAAGTAACTGCTTTGAAATTCCTGGCACGGATCCACCAAATAGTACTCGATAAGGAATGACCTAAAATTTTATTAATTATTAAATGACCATTGAAACATAATCAACTAACTACGAGACACACGAGAAAACATGACACGGTTTGCTCGATTACAAGAGTAGAAGTACCTTTATAAATTATGGTCAAGTGGGACGGTTGGCCTGCTTACCCGAGACGGTTTGCTCATTGCTGTACTAAAAGTAAGCTAGCTAGCTCAAATGATAGAATGCTGGAATCATGAAACGTCGCCATTTATATACCCGCCAGTGGTGTGGGCCAAGAGGCCTGAGAGGTGGGTAAGAATTAGACATCGTGATGCCTAAGAATTGTTATTACTTGATTCTTAAGGTTATTTGGATTAGTGGGATCTTATTACTACTGTGATGCGAATATCCTCGGATGTATTGGTTGCAATACAAATTTTTAAAGAAAATGTAATATTCAATGCATATAAGCGTCGTTAATGGTGTCCAGCTTGTTGAAGCCGTTTGGTAAACGTCAGGCAGGAGAGTGTGCTTGATTATTTACGTACCTCAGGCCGTGCGAACAATAGAGATGGTACTATGGTTTGACCGAAATGCCAAAGCGTCGCTCGTTGCACACTTGAGGACACCCTGGGCTTCCACTTCCGACACCTAGATACAGGAAACTACGGAGCGGAATACCTGGACACCCTGAACTTCCACATCCAGTACCTAGATACAAGAAACTACGAAACGGAACATCTGGACACCCTGGACTTCCACGTCCGTCACCTAGATACAGGAAACTACGGAGCGGAATACCTGGACACCCTGAACTTCCACATCCAGTACCTAGATACAAGAAACTACGAAACGGAACATCTGGACACCCTGGACTTCCACGTCCGTCACCTAGATACAGGAAACTACGGAGAGGAACACTTGGACATCCTGTATCTCTAGAAACTTTCACCTAAAATACGAGGAACTATGTCGAAGCACACACATACGTACACTCATACACACGCGCTTCACATGAATCCTATTAAAGACTTAATAATTCTATACTGTTGTCAAAGCAGCCTTATATTAATTGGAAATTTGGTGTGAACTGTAGCTTTACGTATAATGTGTATTTGATTGTGTGGTGTATTCGTAAATTACCAAAACCATCCAGAATACAAATAGGTAAAGAGGGAAAAGCAGTCAGCGCCATCTATCGTGTAAAAAAGTAGATGGACGTGCGAAGACGACGACAGACCTGAAATAAAATCATCTTGCTTGCCGTCTCAATACACGCTGATCTCATAAATCAATCTCATTGATTTTTATGGCAATCAATTCAGAACCCTCGATTCCTATAGTGAATTTATCAATAACTTTTTCTCACATACAGCCGTTCATATAATATTTGTGTCGAAATGCAGGTACAAGAGATGCTTCTAATAAACAGTCTCGGCGGGTCATGCCCTGTACGGCGGGTTATCTGTACTTGGTGCGAGACCCGACCAAGTCTTTTGATACGACCGATGTGAGTCCAACTTTTCTCAAGCAGCATCAATTGACCGTGCTAGACCTACGGGTTCCGTTGTGTTCATATTCGAGTCATTGTTTTCTTGATTTGAACTTGAACTAATTTATTTTTATTTAAACAATTTTTTTTTCGATAGTCGACGAACTCAATACAATTAAGTGTTAGTGACATCTAATGTTTTGGGGTGTTGCAGCAATGAGGACATTTTTTTTTATAGCACAATTAAAAGCATGCAAAGCCATGAAAAGTAAATAAAAGCTCGTGCATATAATGCAGCCTACTTATAACATGCAATTATAATTAGTCGATAACGAATTAACTGATGCTTCTTGCTCTCTCGCTTCAATTGTTAACTTCTTATTCAAAGCGATTATATCTCTACAACTTTCTTTGGCGACATGCTCCATCGCAACATCAATCGTCCTTTCGTATCGCTTTATAAAATGGGAAGTCATTGCTGGAATATTGAGAACAGAGAGAATAATATTTATTTGTACTTCTCCGGAACCACCATCAAGGATAGCTATAAAAATATAAAATATAAAATTTTCTAAATAAACATACAGTAGTGCGCAATTGAAGTGGAACACTTGAATTTTTGTGTATCTCTACGAAACTATGACCGATTTAAAAAAATCAAAGATATATTTTTTAGGAAATTTCCTTCCCGTTCGAATGGTAAAGGTTTTATCCCGATCGAATACAAAATGGCCGAACGGCAGGGGTTGGAGTGAAATAGTGCATTTTGGGACTTTTTGAAAAATTCGAGATCTAGTAGTTCCGGAAGGAAATTCATATTTCTAATTAGGGCACGAGAGAGAGCATCCTTCGGCATTAAAAAAACACCCCTACTGAACCCCTGTAGGGTCACTCTAGGCGGAGTTACACCCCCTTGAAGTGAAGACACTTAAATGGCCATAACTTCCGAACGCGCCGGCCAATCTGGTCCAGTTTCTGCATGATATCATCTTTAATGATACTGCAGATTCTCACAAAATTATTGTTCTCGGAGATGATCCCGTGACGGAGATCTCGAGATTTCGCAAGCGCACTCAAAGCTTCTCCGCCATTTTTCATTAGGAATGCGATGAAATAGAAGTTTCATATTTATCCACGTTGTAGCTGAGATTTCAACGAATAAAACGCGCTTTTAAACATCCAAATATGAGTTTGCTAAGGGGTTAAATTATCCATTTGAAAAAACGCCTAAATTTTGCGAGTTCCGCTCGAGGCGCTCGGGAGACTACTAGCCTACCACGCGCGCCAAGCAATAATTGCTATTATTGTCCCTCGAGCGCCTCAAGTGGAACTCGCAAAATTCAAGTGTTTTTTCAAAAGAAACATTTAACCCCTTAGCAAACTTATATTTGGATGTTTAAAAGCGCGTTTTAATGTGTTTTTTGACTGTCGAAGGATGCTCTTTCTCATGCTATAATTAGAAATATGAATTTCCTTCCGGAACTACTAGTTCTCTCACTTTTAAAAAAGTCCCAAAATGCACTATTTCACTCCAACCCCTGCCCTTCGGGCATTTTGTATTCGATCGGGATAAAACCTTTACCATTCGAACGGGAATGAAATTTCCTAAAAAATTTATCTTTGGTTTTTTTAAATCGGTCATAGTTTCGTAGAGATACACAAAAATTCAAGTGTTCCACTTCAATTGCGCACTACTGTATAATAATAATTAAGCAACGGCAAAAGAGCAGTCAGACATTATTTTAGAATAAAAATTACGATAATTCACTTACCAGTTGCTACTTTATAATTGACAGCATACTTTTGTATTCCCGTATCTTCTTCACGTACAGGAGTCTTATTTGTCACAACTTTGTGGACAATGTGACACTGTTCACAGATAATGAGCAACACACTTGTAAGCCCATATACACTTTCGCGTTCCAAAGAACGAAGTGGTATTGGAATATCACAGTCGCTGTACCATAATTGTTCGGCAAATGTATCCAATTCCGAAATTCGTCGCCCTGATGCTACATAATCTATAAGTAAGTTGTGTTGACCCATTATTAACAAATGTTACATGTCTACTCGAGAAAATGTCAGGTATCGAAACATCACGAAATGGCAGTCACACTATACCAGTAAACGCGACGTTGCCGGATTTCCATTGATTAACCGATAGAGACTCAATACGCACTGTGCGATATCCTATGGCACAGTCTGTAATCGCTGTTCCCGACTTGTATGAATTGTCGCGAAGACACATTTTGAATTGTCGCGCGTGGTGCCATCTTCGGGATTTCTGATTGGGGCCGAAGGACCAATTAGAAGTGGATGTGGGTAAGGGAGAGGATGATGCTACCGATTACGATTGAAAGGGAAGGTAATTCCTTTTCCTTGCCTGGACTGTCGATGAAGCGAGTCGTGTTTTTGAGCCGTTTCGGTTTCGGGGGTTAAAATGTGAGGAGAATCAGGACGTTGTCCAAAGCCGCGGTAACGGGCCAATTTTTCGGAATGAAGAGATTTAGAGATTTCGGTAAGCGAATTGTTGTTTTGTGATTAACGAAATATCATAATACCTCGCGTTTTGTACGTTTTTGAATGGTACCTGTAGGCATGTGGGAAAAATTCCCACATTTAGAATCGCGTTCGTTTAGGGTAATCAGTAAGCAGAGCATCAGCCTCTCATTTCCTTCTTTCTATTCTTTGGGTTTTGCGTCTAATTATTCAGTCCACGTCTGGCGGAATTGTTTTTCTAGCACATGGGAGCGTGAGTCACTATCGTACAATTTATTATCGTATCCGTTTCTTATTGTACCGTTATTGTATCGTGTCGCATGTTGCGTTATTCCAGCGGGAACATTATTGTATAATGTCGTTCGGGTAATATCCCAGTGCGTTTTGTACCATCTCGATCTGTTTTCCGTACTTATCACTTGCATTCAATAGCATTGTTCTTATATTTTTCTATTTAAAACAAATTGGACCGTTCCTGAATTTTAGTTTCAATAGTTCAATGTTAAATAATTTCAGTAGTTTTTAAGGCTATTCTACAATGCAACGGGACACGGAACACGGAACACGTAAGCACCGCAATTAAGAAGGAGAAAATCGTTTTTAAAACCGAGCGTTTATTAAATATCTATAATTTTTGCTACGTCTCGGACATAGCAACGATACGGAAGCGAGTGCTAGGGTCATTACGTATTTTACGGAGCACGGAACGTGATGAGTAGCATCGTGCATGCCCCGTTCCGTGCACCGTAACAGGCTTCGTGAAAAAAATAATTGCCCCGCCAATATTTTCATACGTGAAATGTAATTACCTGTCACCTGTCATTGTCTTTCAATATATAAATATTTTAAAAAAGTGTATATGCCTTTATTCATATAGATAAGTAAATCATTACTTCATTTTTAAAGTCACGATGACTTTTATCGTGGAGAAATTTGATTTCTCTAACGATATTGATAATGATCTCGTCTATAGAGTTGGTAATGACAGGTGACAGGTAATAACATTTCACGCATGGAAATGTTGCCGGAGCAATTGTTTCTTGTACGTAAGCCGTTACGGTGCACGGAACGGGGCATGTTCGATGCTACTCATCACGTTCCGTATTCCATAAAATACGTAATGACCCTAGCAACCACTTCCGTATCGTTGCTATGTCCGAGACGTAGCCAAAATCGTAGAGATTTAGTAAACGCTCGGTTTTAAAAACGATTTTCTCCTTTTGAATTATAGGATCCAATGGAATTTTGCAAATATACAATTGAATACCACGCCGCTTACGTATTCCGTGTTCCGTTGCATTGTAGGATGACCTTTAGAGTGAACCTCCCTAGTTTTCAGATTTTTATTATTGTCTCCCAAACCCAGGACCGTACCATATAAGAGATGGTCAGGGTATCCTTAGGAGACAGCGGTGTAACTCTGGTTATACCTGGCGCCCAGTTAATTAAGTATTTTATCAATTATTTCAAATCTCTATAATATTGATTTAAGAGAACCTGTCAAATACCAAAGACCCAAAGTGTCTGGTTAAGGATGGGGTTATAGGATGTCTTTCTTTTTAGGGTTAATACGAAAAGCTATACCAGGGAAGGTTGATATTTGCACTAAAGGAATGTTTAACACTCTTCGTTTTCAAAATAATAATATTCCGAATTGGAACAGAATTATACAGGGTGAATCACGAATCGTGATCAGTAGAGATTACTTTGTTATTAGCAGTCCGATCGAAAATGTTTTTATCAGCTTTTACATGGTTTCAAGAGAGCTTTAACGTGATAGTGAAAAATTACTGGTCAACTCTTTTTTAAAATGTTTTTTCAAGGTTACCTTGAATTTTTGGCAACTAAACATATAATTTTTTTACGCCTGTCTGTTAGAGGATTCCAAGACGAATTCGGCACATGTAAGGACATGACATTTCTTTCATCTGGTTCGAAAGAAAATAAAAAACTTTGTATCACAAGGAAAATCACAGCTACGCCGTTATACGCATCCATTCTGTCGTCTTCAGTCGCCATCAGTGTAGAGGAGAGGCCATAAAGAATGCAAAACAATCTTTTGTTCACCGTCTACGCGAGTGCATTGCAGCTCGTGGACACCATTTTGAACATCGCTACAATTAAAATTGGTAAATTTTGACTTGTCAACAACATTCGTTGCGTAATAATGGCGGAGCTGTGATTCTCCTTGTGATACAAAGTTTTTTAATTTTTTTCGAACCAGATGAAAAAAATTCGGACATGTCCTTACATGTGCCGAATTCGTCTTGAAATCCTCTAACAGACAGGCGTAAAAAAATTATATGTTCGGTTGCAAAAAATTCAAGGTAACCTTGAAAAAACATAAAAAAAAAGAGTTGACCAGTAATTTTTCACTACCACGTTAAAGCTCTCTTAAAACCATGCAAAAGCTGATAAAAATATTTTCGATCGGACTGCTAATAACAAAGTAATCTCTAATGATCACGATTCGTGGTTCACCCTGTATATGTGGTTCTTGTTTACAGCAACATAGTTATGAACTACTTTTCATTTTTTAATCATACATATACTTACAATGTGCTTATATTACAGAATCTTTGGATAAATGGGAAAGACTGACAGTAGCGGATGCATTGGAACCGGTAGCATTTGAAGATGGCGAGACAATAGTTAGGCAAGGCGAACCAGGCGAAGATTTCTATATAATTGTAGAAGGAATGGCTGTCGTTCTACAGCAGCGTATAGAAGGTGAAGAACCATCAGAGGTTGGACGACTTGGACCTTCGGATTATTTTGGTATGATCAGTTTTGTAAATACTGATTTTATAAGGAACCGTTTATCGGCAGTAAAAAATACAAAAATCAGAGTAAATGCGAACCATTTAAAAGAGTTGGTAGTCGTTGCAAGAATTTATAGTAAAGACTGGCAATAAACGTTCTATTTTTGAAGAAGTCTAACTAATAGGAAACAGCACCTGAATTTTTATAATATTTGATTTCGCTCTTGTTGTATACTCTCATATTTATTTTTGTTATATTTAGATTTTTAATTATCTCATTCGCGGTTAAAACTTTCCTCAAAAATTTTTAATATTAAGTGATATGAAAAATGCGAACAGTTTGCCGTTTAATGAATACAGTCAAACCTCAGTCCCTATCTGTCTGGTTCCCCTCTGAATTTAATCGCTGTCCAGTTCCATATCTCAGATCCTATCTTCATTAAAGTGTTATGAGAATGCGTAAGGAGAACCCTGTCTTATTTACGTACCTAACCTAATCACCCTCCACTTTGTTGGTTAGCAATATCTTACAATGGGTCTAGTCTAAAAATAAGCGCTACTGCATTAAATCCTCTTCAGCCGCTTCCTACAAGAGAATACGAAAATATAATTCGTCGTGTAGAAGCTGGTGAAAAAATAAAGGTTTTGCGTCCCTTATTACATTTATTTTCACAAACCTACTTAAGAACTTGCATTGGTTGAAAGAATCATGTGATCTTCGGACAGAGACAGAAATTTGTCATCCCGGCAATGAACAGGGATTGAGGTTTGATTATAATACGATATCTATGTACTGTAATGTGGCGTTACATCGCTGGAGGAGAGGTCCGCCTAGGAATGACCAGAAAATAAATACATAGGACTTCCCAGGTCGGACAGTGGGTTCGGTGGCACAATAGTAAGTGCCCGACTTGGCAGTCCGAAGGTATCGACTTCGATTCCCGATCAGAACTCCTAATTTTTCGGAAATTCCTATCTAGCGCTCCCGGGCGGCTCTGTGGATAAATTATTTATAGCCAGGACTAGCCGGGCACCCACGTTATAGTACACGGAATTTCAGTTTTATTTGTTTATTAATAAGTAAAACTATTTTATTCATTAGTTAGTTAAGTCCTTAGATGAATAGAGCAAATGATATTTGAACTATCATTCAGTTAAGTAATTCATTTTAAAGCTAATATTTAGAGTGACCTTTAAACGATTACAGCTACGCCTATCAAATTTCCGTGTTTGCTCCCTCTTCATATATTATATTACTCTATCTTAATTCCACCTTTTTTTTCACAGTGTGGTGAATAGGTTTGAGTTTATCAAACAAATTCACGAAATTTCTTTTAGTTATTCATATTAATTGCTTTAAGCGCGGTGACTTATATATCAAAATACAAAAAAGATATAAATAGTTTTATTTAAACTAATGGAGAAAAAACAAGATAACAAAATTGCAAACTTAAACAAGATGCTAAAAACGCATATCCCTTGCACACATATTTATCTACAGTGTGTACATTTCCGCACGTTCGAAGTAATATTTCTTTATGATGTGACGGAATATGAATAATATTTAACGCATTAACTATAATTTAATGAATTTATATGATAACTTCAAAAGTGCTCATCGATCTGCGAGAAAAGGTGATGTAAAGGTATGACGATAAGACGAAGGGCATGTGGAAACTTGAGAAAGGTACACCAACACTTGCAATCGCATGAGTCTTGCCCTCATAGATTTAAAGATATCTTTACCAGAAGCGCGAGAGGAACAATGAAGAGGAAAAGGTCTATACGTTTTTATGAGCAATGTTTTTTTATTGCTAATTGCTGCATAAAATATTTACGGAAGCCTTAGTCACGTACAAACATCTTATTCTATATCTTATTTTTAAACTAGAAATAAGTAATATCTGATTACAAATATATTGATAGTTTAAGTTACTGCTCAAAAATATTTTATTTCATAAGGGTAATAAAATTATTATTATAATTATTCGTAAAAGATGTGGATTTACTTCCAACACTGACGGTCAATTTAAAGTTAAAAGTATGCTGGAAGGTATGCTCTACGTAAATAAATGTTTATTTTTCAAAGATCAAAGAGTATATCTAAGATTTTAGGCTTTTGCGGCCAATATTGTCATTAGTGCTCATGGTTTCCGGATGGAAGCCGCGTCTGTGTTCAGCTTCGTGCCGAAGTTTCGCAAATGTTTCAGTCTGCATCTTCAGGGCTAGGAGGCTCCAATACTGAAGCTCCCTGTTGTCAGGAAGTCTTAATATACCTATGGTTGCTCATGCGGAGCAGTGCTTCAGCCAATCATAAGTTGTTTTTAGTTGATCAGCTGATCAATTAAAACTTTTTAAACTTTTTTCGTTGCACCTTTCTCTTTCAAGTTCACTGGAAGTTGGGCTATGGAACACACTTGATCGGGTAACACACGAACAAACAGTGCACTCCGCCGAACTAAGAATGAGAAAACAGAAAGGGAAATTTGAAAAATTAATTCCACAGGTAAACCCCCCAACCCTAACACATACGGTTAAGAACCTTAGTAACTATAATCTATGTGATGCTGAGGTCTCCATTCTTGCAAAGGGCCATAATTTTGCCATAGCACCCACCAAAATCCCTAGCGGACGAAGTAACCTGTAGAACTAGCTAGCATTTCTGTCTTTTCATAATCCACCGAATGTCCAGTGTCCACCCAATGTTCTGCCAAGGCAGATTGAGAAAACTTACCGTATTTGGTACACCGTTGATGTTCTTTAACCCGTGTACTGATCTTCCTCCCGGTTTCGCCTATGTACACTTTTCCACAGGAGCAAGTGATTTTGTATACTCCTGGGGCACTCAGTGGTGGTCTACGGTCTTTCGTACTGGGAATTATTTGTCCAATCTTCTTCGGGGGTTTGAAGATTGTACGGATGTTATGTTTCCGTAGCACCTTGCTGACCCGGTCTCTTGTACCTTGGAGATACGGTAGAGCTACGATTTCCTGTCACACGGTTGGTTCATTAGAAGATGGCGATGGACTCTTATTTTGTAGCTTACGTAATACATGGTTAATTTGTTGGCTGTGGTATCCATTCCTACCAAGGGCTCCGTTAAGATGTTTGATTTCTGTATCCAAGTGTTGTGGTTGAGAAATGGTTAGAGCCCGGTACATAAGGGAGCTGACAGAGTTTTTCTGAGAAGGGTGGTGATGTGAGGAGGCATGGAGGTATCTATCAGTATGGGTAGGTTTGCGGTACACCTGATGGCCTAGGCTTCTATCTTCATTTCGATGGACTAAAACGTCTAAGAAGGGGAGATCTCCTCGTTTCTCAATTTCCACGGTAAATCTTATGTTTGGGTGTATTGAGTTTATGTATTCTAGGAATTGAGGCAAGGTGTTTTTCCCGTGTTTCCATATGACAAAGGTGTCGTCCACATACCTGTACCATACCGATGGTTTTAGGGGGGATGAAAGTAGAACTTTGTTTTCGAGATGTTCCGTGAAAATATTGGCTGAATGGGGGATCCCATTGCTGCCCCAGATGTTTGTTCATAGAACTCACCCTGGTATTGGAAATAGGTAGATGTTAGGCAGTGTTCAATTAGGGGGAATAGTTTGGAAGGAATTTTCTTGGATTTCTTTATGATTTCAAGGGTGTCAGGGATGGGAACGTTTGTGAACAGTGATTCCACGTCGAAACTGACTAGAATTTCATCAAGGCTATTTCTAATGGAGTTGATTTTATTCACGAAGTCTAGGGAGTTCTTAATGTGTGAGTTATTTTGTCCTACTAGTGACTGGAGGGGTTTGGTGAGTAGATGGACAAGTTGGTAGGTGGGGGTACCAATGTTGCTTACTATTGGACGAAGGGGAACATTTTCTTTGTGGATTTTGGGAAGGCCATATAATCTAGGGGGGAAGGATTCCTTAGGGGTAAATATTTTGAGGGTTTCCGGAGGGAAATTAGCTTCTTTAAGTAGCTTGATGGTCTTCTTCTCCATGCTTGTTGTTGGATCTTTTTTTAGTTTTTTGTATGTGTTTGAGTTCTTTAGCATGGCCTTGATCTTGTTAGTGTATTCTTCCTTGTCCATTACGACTGTAGCATTTCCCTTATCTGCTGGTAGTATGACAATTTTGTTGTTTTTCTTGAGATTGAAGAGTGCTTCTCGTTCTTCTCTGCTGATGTTTTGTTAAGGGGGCTTTGCTTTGTGTAGGATGGTGGAGAGTTTTCTTCTAACATTATTACTAGTTTCTGTGGGTAAGTGAAAAATGGCTGTCTCTGTCTGGCTAATTATTTCCTCTATAGGGATTTTGGTGGGTGCTATGGCAAAATTATGGCCCTTTGCAAGAATGGAGACCTCAGCATCACATAGATTATAGTTACTAAGGTTCTTAACCGTATGTGTTAGGGTTGGGGGGTTTACCTGTGGAATTAATTTTTCAAATTTCCCTTTCTGTTTTCTCATTCTTAGTTCGGCGGAGTGCACTGTTTGTTCGTGTGTTACCCGATCAAGTGTGTTCCATAGCCCAACTTCCAGTGAACTTGAAAGAGAAAGGTGCAACGAAAAAAGTTTAAAAAGTTTTAATTGATTAGGTGATCAACTAAAAACAACTTATGATTGGCTGAAGCACTGATCCGCATGAGCAACTATAGGTATATTAAGACTTTCTGATAACAGGGAGCTTCAGTATCGGAGCCTCCTAGCCTTGAAGATGCAGACTGAAACGTTTGCGAAACGTCGGCACGAACCTGAACACAGACGCGGCTTCCATCCGGAAACCATGAGTACTAAAGAGTATATCTGCCTTTCACAAGGTTATCTCTCTCTCTCTCTCTCTCTCTCTCTCTCTCTCTCTCTCTCTCTCTCTCTCTCTCTCTCTCTCTCTCTCTCTCTCTCTCTCTCTCTCTCTCTCTCTCTCTCTCTCTCTCTCTCTCTCTCTCTCTCTCTCTCTCTCTCTCTCTCTCTCTCTCTCTCGCATATGTTAAATTCCTTAACTCTCAATTACTGTTATTATTTACGTTTGA